ATAGATAATATAAATATTTATTATATTATATGTAAAATATATATTAATAACATAAATATAAATATGTAATATATAATTTTATATTTAAGTAAGATGTCTTTGTGATTCGTGGACTTTAATGTTCCAAATTAACTTGAATGAATTGTAAAATTTCGGGTCCGACGGGGATTGGCCAATCCAAAAAACCGTGGATGGCCCTATTCACCCATTTTGGTGGAATAGCATCCTCCACGTTTTTGGCCCAAAAATATAGATCGGCCACTATCCGGGATTCAGCTATCCACGCAGGATTGTATTACCCAAACAAGGGATAAGGGCCCAATACCTGAATAGCCTTATCCTGGAGAGTCCAATCCAGGTACCCAAACAGGCCCTAAGAGAACAACACAGGAAGCTCTTATGTCATGCATTGACATATGCATGACATGATAAGAAGACAACCATTAAGAGAGATATCTGAGGTGACTGAAGGAACTGATTACATGACTTGCATAAGAGACATCCATTCTTTGAGATAGCGACACAACACTACAAAACAAACACTTGTATACATAGTGTATCAGAAAGGGTAGACCATACTCTGTTCATGCTGAACATTCAGCTAGAGAAGTGTATCAATCACCTCATTATTTGTAAGTTGAACACAAGATGCATACGTATTGCCATTGAATGGTGAGGATAACGTAATTGTAGTGAAGAGCTACAAGCTCAAAGAAATAAGAAAGCTAGCCTGGATGATTCATCAGAACCTATTGTTCTTAAAAACGTTGAGACAATTAACCCCTTTTGTTGGCAGTTCATGAGAAGAAACTGATCAACCAAGTCTATGGAGCTTGCTTGAGACAATAAAGTGCCTTCCATAGACAAATAAAGCGCCTTCCATAGACAAATAAAGTAGAGATAGATCGGTAAATCAAGAGTGAAGTGATATTGGAGCAAAAGGCATATTAGATAGGCAAAATAAAACCCAACACTCAAACTGGTTCTAGTACCATAATAGAATATATGTTCAGAGAACAATTACAGGAGAGAAGATTATAGATTTGCATTGCAAAAAAAGCAATGGCAAACAACATGAAAGCCTATCAATTATTCTCATATCAACAATGAGAACGAAAGATCTGGTTGATACATGTATTAGCTGCACTGAGCTGTAGCATGCTATAGGAAAGGTAGCCATCCTGTATGAAATTGACAATGAACACCCGCACACATATTTATATATGTAAGGAGGAAGTGAGGGAGGGAGGGATGGAGGGATGGAGGGAGCAGGAGAGAAGGAGAGGGAGAGCCCACACACGCTTGAGAGAGAGAGAGAGAGACAGAGAGTGCGTTCAGCCATATATTACCTGGTCATATGTATTCGAAGCCTCCTTGAAATTGGTCTCAAAGGACATTAAACTGTTAAAAGTAACCGTAGATTGTGTCATTCCTTTAGCACCCATGTCTGCAAATAATTTACGAGCTTGCTCATAGTTTCCTGCTTTCCGATACATGAAAATCATCATGTGGTACATTTTTTGATCAGGCTTCAGTGGTGCATTCTCATTGTCCAGAAGGCTATTAAAGATCTCCTCCGCCTCTTTGAACTTCCCAGCCTACGACATCCCATTCACAGGCTATTTAATTAGAAGATATACCATATAGAACCAAAACCTCAAAAGCACCATAGAAAAAGTAAGGAGGGATCACAGAAAGTTGAAAAGATCATTCGGCTTCACACTTAGTGAGGCCAAGCTTGTAAGTATGTGGGGGTGTAATTCCAAAGCTAAACTTGAAAGCCCATAGAAAAATTAATCAAAGATATTCTGCTAATAAATAGCAATTTATACTTCATTACAATTAAGAATAATATATGGGCTCTCACAAGAAGGAAAAAAAAGTCATATAGGTGATTATAAAATTCCTGAGGAAAGATAAAGAGTGAGTATTGGTACAAAGACAAGCATACATACATCAACAAAAGTCTTGAGTATTATTTGATATGTCAAGGCTGAGGGTTCAGGGCCAGAAGATTGCATTCTTCGAAATATGGCTTCTGCCTTGTTGTATTGACCAGCTCTCCCATATGCTTCCATAACGGCGGTGTGAGAGCCCACATTGGGAGGATATCCCTTCTTGTTCATATATCTTAAGACCCTCTCGGCTTTATTGAAATCCCTAAGTTTTCCATAAGCTGTAATAAGCATTAGGAAATCCATCTCATTGAAGTCCCACCAATGTTGGCACCTTAGCCATTCCAAAATCTAACATAGAAAGAAGGGTTCAAATGTTATGAATTTTAAAACACAAACCATGTCCATACAAAAATCAAGATAAAGAGTCTGTATAAAATGCTCAAATGACAATAAAATGAACCACCAAGCCAGTACATATATATCAGGGACAAATTCCAATTACCCCCAAAAAAACTTAAACCCAGATCAAAGGCGAGATACGGAAGACAAAGAAATCAATTTCCAAGTAATTAAATACATGGACAGTTAATTTCACTGATGTTGGTACAAAGTCTAAATGGAAGTGAAAATCAGACTATACTAACTATCACAAATTCTCCAGTGATTTATCAAAAAGAATAGCCATGGTGATTACTTAGAGATCTGAAACACCAAAAAAAATGGGGAATAACGTAATAATGCATACATTGAACTGCTAATTTTTCTTAAAGGAACATGTTTTGATACCCTATCAAGATAAGTAAAGTTTTGGCGTTGGAAAACCTTCAAATCAATCATCTCGGCCTCTACCATTATGGTTGTAAAAGAAAATTAGGATCTCAAGCCCTAAAAATAATGTATATTGTAACACATTATCTAGACCATTCATTTCGCCCTAAAAAAATCAATTTTAGAGCCATCATGATATTTCCAATGCCCAAAGCATTTCTGGATGAGGATTCGAGGCAAAACTTTACCTTGTTTTCATAAAGCCTAGGCCTTATTGAAACTGCATCCTTTCTTAAATGGGAACAAATGGAAATTCAACTAATACTCACCTTAATTTCTTTGTAGACTTGCCTGTGCACGCGCTGAGCATGCGTGTGTGTGTGTATGTGTGTGTGTATGCGTGTGCGTGTGTGTGTGTGTGTGTGTGTGTGTGAGAGAGAGAGAGAGAGAGCACCTCACTGACAAGGTCCCACTTCTTAAGCTGCTTGAATCTCATTAGAGTGCCCAAAACCAGGTCTTTCGGCAAAGCTTGACCTCTCGACCTTTGGTTTCGGAGAACTGAGACAGCTGAACCTGACTCCTCAATGTCTCGCATCACTTTCCTCCAATTCTTCTGGTCGGCCTCATCTGCCTCATCCTTAAAAACTTCTATTTTTCTCCTCCTTTGCATAAACTTTCTTGGTGCTAACATCCCAAGGCAAACCACCTCTCTTCTTTTAGAGGTTTCAATTTGGTGGAGGAAGGGAGTTCCATTAGGTCTTGGCTTCCTGATAAAAATAAGCAAATGCCATATTAAGAATCAAACAAAACCTTAAGAAGAACTCCAATCATGGTTTTTTTTTTCTGTTTTTTTCTTTCCTTGAAGAAACAGACCCATGTAGAATGTCACCAGCCCAAATTGAACTGAAAATCGAACCTTCTTTCGAATTGTTACAAAAAGAGGAGGGAAAAACACAACCACCACCCAAACAGCTGCATATATTCTGAATTTTGAAGGCATTTGAATTGGGTTTCTACACAAGCAGCCAAACCCAAACTCATAAAAGAGGAAATGCATTCGAAAAGTTAAGGTGTGGCAGTGTGTTGCCGAAGAGAAGGGTAGAAAACCCCATTTCAGGAAAAAAAAAAAAAGAGAGAGAAGCGATTTGTAGTGAGAGAAACAGCAGCACCCATGTAAATTTATGAAAATTATATCAGAAAAAACACAGTAATGTCTGCAAAAAAGCAACAAAAGTAAAGCTAAGTATTATGAATTGAGAGAAAACCAGTGATAAGTACAGAGGAACAGCGAACCTGGGAATGAATCACACAAGCCACAAAACGAGAGTAAAACCAAAGGAGCAGAGAGAGAAAGAGAGAGAGGGGAATTCAGGAGGATGGCTCAGCATAGGCAGAGAAAAACGAGAAAATTCAGAGGGAAAGTAAAAATTCGATGGGAGTGTCTTACCTCAGATTGGATGAGAGAGATATCCAAGACTGCATTTTGAGGGCATCCATCTCCTCTAGCAAATAAGAGAGAGAAAATAAGCTCTAAGTAGTGAGAGAATGAGGAGGCTCCATGGTTTTTCAGTACCAAGTGTGGGAAGACATAGGACACGAGCAAAACACACTCTGCCTGCCTTATCAAAAGCACATAGAAGGGGGCACACCTTTTGGGATCGTCTGCAAAGAGGCTATATGAAAAAGTGAAAAAGTTTATATAAGGTTGCAACCTTAAAATATAAAATTAAGGTGGACTAGTAAATTCATCATAAAAATATCGAAAAAATTCTTTAATCGATCATCACTACATCGAGATGAATTACTATAAAAAGTTGAATATAAAAAAAAAATATATTTTAAGCTCTAAAAAATATATCTTATAACTTGACCATCCATTTTCACTATTTTTTAGTATTTATTGATCTACTTGATCTGAACCATTTTTGGAGATTAAAATTTTATAATTAAAGGTAAATATTGTTTCTCAAATCATCTTAAGAAATTTGACACCAGAATTTTATTTATGATAAAATTTCAAGGTACATCTTAATTTAATTGTTTAATGTTGTAACCTTATACAAACCATACCTTTTATATTTTGTAAATGGAGGTCACAATCATTCTTGTTCCTTAAATTTCAAAACATGTAGTTGTAAGAGTGTCATTGAATAAATATAAAATCCCAAAAAAATTCTCAGACTTCGTGACTCATCTCAAGTCATTAAATTTGACATCTAATAAGTGATAATGATTATGAACTCCATGTAGAAAAATAAATACTCTCTTTATAAACCATCCCATATTACTTTTCCTATATTTTTTATAGTAATACCCTTTCATCTAGAGATATTAAAATTTAAGAGAGAGAAAAAAAGGTTGCAATAAAAGAAAGAGCTGCATAGGGTACACCTTTAGCATGAGGTTGCAACCTTATATAAACATTTCTTATTTCACAAGGTTTTCATGAATTTGTCCACTCATCTAGTTGTAGATGAATTTTGGTACAACAATTTTAAAGGGTTGACAATCCATAATGTGCTGAATAAAAAAATCAATTTTAAAACTAAAAAATAATAATTTTGATGCATTTTTTCAGATTATTAATTTGTAGGTTTTGGTGGGCGAACACCTTTTTACATCCTCCTTGAGATGGATGTTAAGGTACACAAGGAACGTATTTGTAGAATTGCATCCCCTGATGCACGCTACACTTTTCCTTCGAGAGAGGAAAAATTGTGTTCCCACCGGAATGACAAATTTTGAATAAGGAAAAAGTTTATATAAGGTTGCAACATTACTTTTACAGCTGCGGATGCACCACAAAAATCCATAAGAAAACATAGTTTTAATGTAGAAAAACCTTTTGATTGATCATCTCGACATCGAGATGTACGACCCTGTAAACTAAAGAGATTTTAAGTATAAAAAATAGCGCATTTTACAACATATTATCTACACCATCTATTTTCAAGATTTTCATATGTTTATGGATCTACTTGATTTTAATCATTTTCAAAATTTAAAATTTGATAATTAGATATAAAAATAGATTTTGAGATAATCTCAAGAATATTTTACATCAAAATTATATAACATGATAAAATTTGAAGGTGCACCTTACCTCTATAGCTACGGATGCATTTGTATGCCAACTGCACCCTTTAAATAATTGCATGGCCCATAATATGTAAAAAAAATTTGGTTTTTTTTTTAAATTTTAATTTTGCCTCTTGAATTCTATTCGAATTGCATATCTGAATCATTGGCTTTGGGGTTTCACGGGATTCAGCCAATTGTCGCGATCGTGGGATATCATTGAGAAATAAGAAATCGTGTTCTCAAATAATTTCCCGCGATTATTCCTAGTATGGAATGAGTCAATCATCCACTTTGGTATCTTATCGAACCAAAATCATATTCTTGTTCCTCCATTGATCAATAATGATCTAAAGATTGATAAGAATCTTTTTTATATAAAAATTAACAATTGAAACGTAAAATCGAGATTTTCAAAAGAAAAAAAAAGGATGCCATTTGTTTTTCTTATTTTGCCCAAAAAGTTATTTTGCTCCCTGGCTTGGGTTCTATTCGAATTACATGTCTGAATCATGGACTTTGGTACAGGGATGCTCCTGGGATCATCGAACCACTCCATACTTACAAATATTTTAGATATGGGGTGGTGTGATTTCTCCAACACCGGAGTCCTCGTACTTTAAGTATTTTTAAGGTATAGAATAGTGTGATGGCTCCAACATCGGACCGCTGTTTTTTTGTTGTTTTAAGTGTTGTTCAATCTTTCCAAATTGAAAATCAAACGGCCGAAGGAGTTTGGGCATAAAAGCCTCAATGTAGTCTAATCTAAGTATATTGGAGATATCAAACTATTTTATACTTAACAAAAATTCTCAATGTGGTGCAGACCATTGTTCCAATATTGGATCGGTCTATATTTGAAAATGAAGCGGTGGAGCATTGCACTGCTCTAGAATTTATAAAAACAAGAAATAAAAAATAAAAGAAGTTCAATTTTTGCAACATCACGTTGAGGCTAAATTGAAATAAAAACAAGAAAAATGACTTAACTATAAAAGTTTACAAATATGACCCCTATGGCATTTCTGCATTCGTTTTATGGTCCTCACGTAATTTTTGCAATGTCCAGACTGGAAATAATTTATGGAGTTTGTGTATGGTCTAAAATTTCTCTAATTTTACTCCCATCTCTTTCTTTTTTTTTTGTATTATCTTTTTTTTTCAATGTTAAACTTTTTTTTTTTTGTTCTTTTTTTTTTTTTTTTTTTGCAAGTTTTAAGGAAGTTTGATGTTCCAAATATCGGACCGCCCCATATATAGGGGTGATTCGATAGTGATTCAAAAGTTATAGCATCGTTTTTCTCTACTTGAATGAAGTTAAACTTTGCCATTTTGGTTTTTTATAGTGAGAGAGTGAGGAGGCTCCATGGTTATTCAGTATCAGATGTGGGAAGCCATGAAACGTGAGCGTAACCTTCTCCATCTCGTCCAAGACACATAGAAGGGCAGCAGATTTTAATGGATAAATTTGTCTGCAGAGCCCCGCGGTTTGGAGAGAATGTGTAATTTAAGAGAGGGAGAGAGAGTTCATCGCCTATAGATAACTTGGAAGAGAGAGAGATTGCATTGTATATTTAGAACTTAGGGGAGAGAGAGAGAGACAGTGAGAGAGAGAGAGAGAGAAATTTAAGTTGTAAAAGGAAGGTTATTAGGTGAGTGCGCATGGTGGTTTTAGGGAGGGAAGGTTATTAGGTGACTCAAGTCATGTATGCCCATGGGGGTTTTAGGGAGTGTTATTTGGATTAGATTGGCCACTCAACTGGTCAAGCATTTGGTCCAGTCAAAACCTATCTATCTACTAGTTGAATGGGTTGGATCGGATTCTAGAAAAAAGGAAAAAATAGATGTAATATTTTTTAAATATAAAATGTATTAAATTTTTTTTTCCAACTTCATTTAGCTGGTGCAACCAGTTAAAAATAGGTAGCCTAATAGCTTAAAATAGTTTAAATATTGGTTTTGACTGACTTTCGACCAAACATAGTTTGTCTTAAACTAGACCGGGATTAGATCAGCTAAGGCACTGGCCTACAGTATAACCAGTCGGACCACAGGTTCAGTCTGGTTTTGATAACTATTGTTTTAGATCTCATCTGAAACCCATGATTTTCATGCTATGAATACAATCCAAAACTAATGATCTTTGAAGTATTGAAATAAACAATTTCAAAAAATAATACAAAAGTAACCATTTTAAATGTTCAAGATTCATTTTTTTATCCAAATTCATGATGGTTGTACTTGAGATATATAATTAAGTTTTGGATCTAAATCTATCTGCCGCTTGGATTTTTTGGATCTAAAATCTGTCTCCATCACTTTCGCAATCTCGTTACTTTCTTAATAAGGGTAATACAACAAGGTGCACAGCCCCACCTCGAAACCCCACTGGGAAAAGTACCTTCAATAGAGCAAAAATTTTATCATTTCGGTGGACATGAAAGCTTTAAAAAATATGTAGATTTGGCAAATCTATGAAGACTCAAAATGGATGATATGTAGAAATCTGCTTTTCTTTCAAATCCATATTCTTTGAGGTGAGATGATGCATTTCCAGAGTTTTAGACACCAATTTGGTGAGATATAAGCTGGGGCTATATAATCCATGCCTTAAATATACTTTTCCTTTAAACAATGCATTGGATTCCACCCTATAATTGCCAAAATAATACTACACTGTCACTTAAGACTCTCGTTAGAATTGTAAAAGATAATAATAAGTTTCATATTCAGAAGTATAAAGTATTTTGAAGGGAGATATACGTTATATCATATATTGGTATCGCTCTAACCATTGAAGTGCTCAAGGAGATATGATGACATGAGGCCTTTTGGTTACTTTTTCATTTCTCTTCAGATTTTTTTTGTGTATATAATGAATGGGATCGTTCACAAAGAGAACATTTCAATAGATGAAACTAGTGTCTTAAACAACAAGAACTCCCAAACTACAAGATTAGATAATGCTTTGCCAAAAAATAAGCCCCTCAAGTTGAATGTTGGATAACAGCCCAATCTCTTCCCTCTATAAATTAGGGCTTCATGACTATTGAAAAACATAGAGAAACAAAAGTTATTCTCAATCTTTATGGAATAACCTTGGTTCTGTATGATGTTAAGTCCAATAACGCTGTCAATCAATACCTGAGACTTTTTGCGAGTTCATTTCCTCCTTTTTCCCCAATAAGAGCACCTCCCACACCTACAAATCCCGCATTCTCAAGGGAACTAACATTAAAATTTAGGGGAAATTACATACATATCCGTTATAGTTGCCGTTATTACGGTTCTACCAAATAGTTTCCGTTATTATCATTATGTCCGTTTTTTTCACGTCAAAACGGAAATTTAAAAAAAATACGACTTTACTTTTTTTTTTTTTATTGAACAACCAAATTCAAAGTATTTTAAAAAAACGGGTCAATTTCAGTTCTTGAATAACCCAAATTTTTTTTCTCGCATGTGGGTCTGTATATCTTGTCTCTACCTTTGCTACATTACATGGGTAAAAATGGTTTTTGGGATAAGTTCATAATCTCTTCGATTTTTTCTAAATTTAGGGGCTCAAACTAGCTGTTGTCCCCTAATTTTATCGTAGAGAGTGAATACGCCACAAGATTTCTCCTAATCTTCTAATCTCATAATCCCTTGGATTTCTCCTAAATTTAGGGGCTCAAACTAGTTGTTCCCTTTTATTTTATCGGATAACTATGACTTCATAGAGGTAGAGAAAATACGCCACGAGAGAGATAAAATATTTTTGGATTCTTCAATAACAGAAATTGGTGAATCAATAACCGAAATTACTTTGAATTTGGTTGTTCAAAAAATGGTAAAGTCATCTTTTTTATAAATTCTCATTTTGACATGAATAAAACGGATATGGTGGTAATAACAGAAATTATTTGGTAGAGTCGTAATAACAGAAACAATAACGAATATGTATGTAATTTTCCCTAAATTTTAATTAACATCCAAGTGGTGCAGCTTCCATCTAATGACCAAATGAAATTGGGTTACAGGGTCTACAATTGATTATTGAACATTGATTTAAAATTGCAATTTCTACACATGATTTTTGCCCCCAAAATTATATGAAGGATCGGACAAACTCATGCATATCCACCTCCAACATTTGTTCACATGTATAACTTCATAGGTAAAAGTAGGCACACCTTAAAAGTCATAAAAAAAAAAGAAAAAACAATTGTTCCAATCTTAGAAAAGCCTCCAATTGATCATATCGACCACAAGATTTATGGATAAGAAAAGAAAAGAAACTCAAGTCCTAAATGTAGTATATCTTGTTATATATTATCCAAAATGGCTATGTTCAAGATTTTCAAGTATTTAAACATATGTTCGATCTACACCATTTTTTAGCTTTGAATTATAATTAGACGTGGAAATAGATTTTCAGGTCATTTTAAGAGTTCTCAAAAGTGAAACTGCATCAAGGTGCAATTTACTACACCTTATATAAACCGCACCCCCTTTGCTTGTGCAGGAATCTATTTTTTTTTTTCCTATAACTAGCCACCACTTTCCAATGACCTCGACAAGTCTTGGCAGAGATATATATTTTCTCATGAAGTTCTTATATTTGAACATTGATTTTCGAGGCTCGGGTTGCGAACAAGAAACGTATGCACAGTCTGATTCTTGCTAGTCAGATCGAGGTGTTCAAGAACTCAAAATCCCCATTGTTTTTGTTTTTTGTTTACTCATCTATTGATTAAATTTCTAATCAACCAGATCCTTGTAAGTGGGGGCCAAATGTACAATTTGCTCCAGTGGGAACACAATACACGCACTCTTGATTCTTTAAAATAATTCAGGCCATCTTATGAAAATTAATGTTTAATTGCTTCGAGAAGTAGAAAACCAGGAGGCCAGTGTTTTACATTATTTGCTCATGTACTTAGTTTTGAAATTAAGGACGTTCATTTTTTACTTTCCAAATGAGGGATTGCCTCTCTAAAAGTATTTCATTAAAAATGATTAGAATATTGCACTGGAAATGTAAAAATAAATTTGTGACAATCTTTTATATATATATATATATCGAACACATTTATATAAGGATGCAACCTTATAATGTAGAACTACGGATGCATCTCAAAAATCCATCGGAAAAGGTAGTTTTAATGTTGAAAAACCCTTTGATTGATCATCTCGACATCAAGAAGTATGATCATAAAAAATAAAAAGATTTTAAGTCTCAAAAATAGTGCATTTTACAACATATTATCTATATCGTTCATTTTCAAGATTTTCATATGTTTATAGATCTACTTGATTTTAACCATTTTTAAAATTTAAAATTTTATAATTAGATATAAAAATAAATTTTGAGATAATCCTATGAACATTTTACATCAAAATTATATATATATATAATATATATAAGAAAAAGCTGGGATTAGCCCACTAGCTCATATGAACATATGAGCCCAACGGCCCAGATTGAATCTGGACCGATCTGACGATCACGGATGTCCA